TTTCACATTGATATAGTTAGGAGTTCTGTTGGCTTCATGTTCTTGTAAGTCCAGTTCCTTCCCCAGGTTTGGGAGGTTCTCAGCTATTATTTCTTTGAACAAGCTTTCTCTTCCATTTTCCTTCTCTTCTCCCTCTGGAACCTATAATCCTTATGTTGCATTTCCTAATTGAGACGGATGTTTCTCACAGAATTTCTTCATTTCTTTTTAGTCTTAGTTCTCTCTCCTCCATCTGAAGCATTTCTATATTTCTATCCTCCAGACCACTGATTCTGTCCTCCATAATATCAGCTCTGTTATTCAGGGAGTCCAAATTTTTCTTTATCTCATCCATTGTGTTTTTCATCTCCAACATTTCTGATTGGTTTTTCTTTATAGTTTCAATCTCTTTTGTGAAGAAGTTCCTGATTTCATTGAACTGTCTATCTGTATTTTCTTGTAACTCATTGAGCTTTTTTATGATAGCTATTTTGAATTCTCTGTCATTTAGATTATAAATTTCTGTGCCTTCAGGATTGATTTCTGGATGCTTTCATTTTCCTTCTGATCTGGAGATTTAATATATTTTTTCATACTGTTTGACAGCATGGATTTGTGCCTCCACATGGTGATAGTATGCGGTCGCAGCTTCCATCTGCCTCCACTGGGTGGGGGTCAAGAGTGGTGTCTTCTGAGCCCACTGTGACCCCTGGCCTCTGTAACTGCTGCTCTTCTAAGGTATGCATGGGTGCTCTGGCCCACCGGCTGAGCTGAGCTTTTGTCTGCCTGATCCTGGGGTGTCCTTGCTCTGCCTTCAGTGTCTGCTCTAGCTTGATGAAGACACCCCTGCAATAGTTTAGTCACCTCTATGTGGGGCTTTCCCGTGGGCTGTGAGGGAACTTGGAGGGTGATGGTGTTCCCATGGAAGGTCGCCCCTCCCCTCTTCTCTCAGAGCCACGCATGGTCTGGAGCCCAGGGTCGCTGTCGCTGGGGAGAGAGAGAAGCTCTGCTTACCTCCTTCCACTTCCTCTGGGGGGTCCAGCACTTCCACCTTCAGATGTATGGCTGCGTGGGTCTCTCAGACATCTTTTGTGTTGGGTGAATGTCCTCTGTTGGTATATGAATGTCCTTTTCATTGTGTCTTAGTGGGGAGCGTCTAAGGGGAGAGCTCACTCCGCCATGATGCTGACATCACCCTCCTCCTGAAAGGTGATTTTAGTGGGCTGCATCTTCCGTGCTGCCTTTCCTACCATTTTTATGCTCTCTGTTCTCTTGGCAATCTCTTATTGTCACTTTACCTACTATCTCCCTAGATGACTGAAAATCTATGTCTTTAACACTGTTCTCTCTCCTAGAGTTTTAGGTTCAAATTTTTAACTCCCTACTGGACATCATCCACTGGACTTCAAACTCCCCATGTCCAAAAGCAGACACTGCAGGACTTGAAATAAGATCTGGATTTGTCTTAGCTCTGTGATATCAGCCTCATCACTGAACCTTTCTGAGCCTCAGGTTCTTAATTGGGGAAAATAAAGGAGAATACACACTTTAGAAGGTTCCTCTGAATGTTGCTGTTTCTCTCCCAGCCATTAGCTTCTCCATTGGTCCCTATTTCTGTAGGGCCACCACCATTTTCCTACATCCAGGCTTGAAATTAGAGCACTATCCTCTGTCTTTCCTGCGTCTTCCGTATTTCCTTTCCCTCTAATCTTCTCTCATTAGTCCTTTTCTCTCTGCATAGACTCTTCCTTACCTCTTGACTGGGCTGTTGGACTCACATCCTAAAGATTTCCCTGCTTCTGGTCTGTCTCTCCAGGCCTCTTACGTAGGTTTACCTCCTAATGCATGGCTCTGTTTACATCACCCCCGTATTAGTTATCTCTCTGTGTAACAAATCACACCAAAACATGACAATTAAATTAGTAAATATTACCTCACACAGTTTATGGGGGTCAGGAATCTGGGAACAGCTTAGCTGGATGAGATTGGGTGAGGATCTCATGAGGTTCAGTCAATATGTCAACCGGGGCTGCTGTCATCTGAAGGCTTGACTGGGCTAGACAATTTGCTTTCAAAGTGGCTCACTGGCGTGGTTGTTGACAGGACGCCCTGCCTGTTTCCTCATCACAGGGACTCTCTCCACAGGGCTGCTTGAGTGTCCTCACAACATGGCAGCTGGCTTCCCCAGAGAGTGATCTGAGAGCAAGGGCAGAAGCCGCAGTGTCTTTTATGACCTAGTCTCAGATATCACCCTCTGTCATTTCTGCAACATCCTGGTGGTTATACAGGCCAGCCCCATTCAGTGTGAGAGGGAACTTCACAGGGGTGTGAATACCCCGGGGTGAGAATCATTGGGAGCCATTTTGAGGCTGGCTACCACATACCCCTTAAACGCTTAGTTTCTTTCCATTGTCCACAGAATAAAACACCTTTGCCTGATGCTCTGACCCCAGCCTGCCTCTCCCCTCCCAAACACAAGAGCCCAGTTATACTTCTTCCCACAATTCCATTTGTTTTTATCTTTGTTTCCAAGATTGCCCTTATTGGAATTTGTCCCTCATTTCTGAATGACCAAATTCCACTCTTCAAGGTCCAACCTTTTCCACTAATTCTTCCCAATAGGAAGTAACTTTCCTCAAAATTTCTTTTAACATACTTATTACTTTTTATAATGTACTACTATATACATTGTATATATTATTTTCTATTACATACATATATATTATGTATGAATTACTGTAATTTGTTTATCAGTCTCAACTTCTCTATCAGGCTGAAAATTCCTTCATAGCAGAGATTACCAAACACCAGACCTTAGGCCTAGCCGGTGCTCAGTCAAGATTTCTAGTTTGAATGGTGTCAACAGCCCTTTATTCATGAGCCACACTGTGCCAGCTCTGGATTGGGCACTATAGAAGGATATTAAAAAGTATGAAATATTGTCTGTATAGGCAGTGTGTACTTATGTTCTACCTTGTGCTGTTTTTATAGAAACTCAGAGCAGAGGGTCAGCAATATGTGCTGAGTTAGTTCAGGGAAGGTGGGGCCTCAGTTACCCTGACATGGGAACCAGGGGCATTGAATATCCTGACACAGAACGGGTTGGGATCCAGGCCAAGAGGAGCACCTGGAAACTTGTAGGCATGTTTTGGGGGGTGAGGGAAGGTGTCATTGATACGCCTGAATGGAGCTATTATGAACCCTTTTTAGAATCCTTTACATTTTCTTTATTCATTGTTTTTCATTAGTGAAGTACTATATACTCGTTGTGACACATGAAATAATGCAAAGATATCTTAAAGAAAAGTTAATCATCTCCCTCTACCATATTCCAATTTCTCCCTCCTTGCCCCTTCCCATGAGTTACCACAATCTTTCATTAATTAGAAAAAAGTCTTTTGGGTTTTATAGGTAAATAATCACATAATCTTCAAATTAAGATAGTTTCCTAATTCTTCTTTTCAATATTTGTGCCAATTAGTTAAGTTTCTTGACTTTTTGCATTAACTAGAACCTCTAAAACAATGTTGAATAATTGCTGGTAAAAGCAGGCATCCCATTCATATTCGTGATTTTAACAGAATTCATTTCAGTACTTCACTCTTAAAAATCGTATATGCTATTGTTTTTCCTAATAGTGTCTTATGTTTAAGTAGTTTCCTCATCTTATAACATTACTTAGAATTTTTAAAGAAGCGATTGCTAAATTTTATCAAATACCTTTCTGGCATCTTGTCATAAACATATGGTTTTTCTTCTTTGATTTGCTGATGTAATGAATTATGTTTGCAGATTTTCGAATGTTTAATCTTCCATGGAGTCTTGGAATAAGCCCGATTTGGTCATGGCTGTCACAGGTTCCTGTGTTTGTCACCTCCCTTCCCTCAGAGCAGAGAGAGGAGCCAGGTGACAGATCACACATGATCCACCCGGTGCTGAACTAAAAATCTGGGCACTGTTCCTGACACCTCCCTTCCCCACAGCCAGCCCATCAGCACATATTCTGGCTATATGCCCACAATATATCTTTTTTTAAAAAAATTACCCTAGTAAAATACACATAATATAAAATTTACAATTTTAACCATTTTAAGTGTACAATTCAGTGGCATTAAATACACTTATCATGTTGTGCAACCATCTCCACTGTCCACTTCCAGAACTTTTTCATCATCCCGGCCAGAAACTGTCCAGAATATACCATAACCTTCCATCTCTCTCCCCTTCCCCTGCTCCCTCCTGGCAGTTAGCTCTCTCCAGCAATCCATTCTCCACGCAGCAGCCGACGTGATCTTTTAAAGACGTAAATCTGATCTTGTCCAACTCGCCTCTTAACACCCTCTCATGATTACTCCTGGAGCTTTGGATTTTGTTGCAAGGCTTCATCACTGCCCACCACGCCCAGTCCCCCTGGCCCCTGACTCCTTTCATCTTCCTGCCGACCCCACTCTCTCTCTCTCTCTCTCTCTCTCTCTCTCTCTCTCTCTCTCTCTCTCTCTCTGTGTGCTCCAGCTGTGCTGCTCTCCTTTCTGTTTGCAGAATTTATCAGGCTCTTTCCTGCCTCGGGGCCTTTGCACTTGCTGTGCCCTCTTCCTAGAATCCTCTTCCCAGGGTTCTTCTCATGGCTGTTTGTTTCATGTCCTTCAGGTCTTGGTACAACTCTCGTGTCCTCAGAGAGGCCTCCGCCCTGACCGTCTGTGTGCAACAGCCTCTTCCTACTCACTCTCAGTCACATTCCCCCATCATTTCTTTCACAAAAATTGAACACAATCTGGAAGTATTTTCTTCATTTGTTTCCTGTTTATCATCTGTCTCTCCTCAGTGAACTATAATCTACCCATGGCAGGAACTTTCCAGTCTTGTAAGGGGCAGGCACATAGTGGCCCTCGGGGCATGTTTATTGAGTGAATGAATGTGAAATGTTACTTGTACTTCTTTATTGATGTTAATTATGTATTTTAACCCACTGTCACTTAGGGTTACTTACATCCTTCATTACCTTGAGCTTTATTTCTCCGTAGCTATGAAGGGGAAAAAGTCCGTGGACTCTATGAGGGAGAAGGCTTTGCCGTCTTTCAAGGAGGCTGTACCTACCAGGTGAGTTACACACTTTGGGAATGGGTAGGGAGGAAGGTGTGGGGTGATAGTTTTAGATTTGCATCTTCAAAAATGTCCATGGGTTCTTCAAAAGAAATTGGAAGCACTTAATGCTGATTTTATTTTGAACCCTATTTACATATTTTAAGGCAAAAACATGGCTCAGTACAACTGAAGAAGTCATTTTAGATGTTTTTCTTTTCCTGAGTTTGTTTATTGTACAAACAGCATTAAGGTTGCTGAAGTAAATAATAAAGAGTAAAATCCAAGTATCATCATCCTTTTGCCATAAATGTTTTCAATTTGCTATATTTCTTTTATTCCTTGAATGGATGTATCAGTATTTTTACATGGGCACATTAATTTTGTAGATAACATCTTGACTCTTTTTTCACTTATGAATAATTTTCTGTATTGCTATGCGGTTTCATAACTTAAAATTATTTTTTTTATTGTGGTAAAAGATACATAACATAAAATATACCATTTTGACCATTTGTGTACAGTTCAGTGGCACTAAGTATGCTCACCATGTTGTGCAACCGCAGGGTATCCACTATCCATTTCCAGAACTTTTTCATCATCCCAAACAGAGTCCTTACCCATTAAACTATAACTCCCCATTCCCTCCTCCATAATTATTATCTTAAATATTGCATAGTGTTCTAATTTACTATTTATAACTATGCCATGGTTGCTGTATACTTTTGGGGTGTTTTAATTTTTTGCCTTTATTAATAATGCCATAATGAAGGTATTTACTCATTCATTCATTCAGATTATCAAAGAAATATGTTGTTATTATAGGAGAATGGATTTTTGTTATAAGGCATGAATTTTAGTACCCTGACATTTTTCCCCTTGATGTACGACATATTCATTTTCCTGTGTCATAAAAACTCTTCAAAAATGCTCTTTGTTGTGACTGAATGAAATTCATTAAAATGACTGTCCCATCTGGCTTTTGCTCTAAGTTCTGGCATTTAAGGTGTTTCGTTTACCCTGATCAGCGTCTTCTTTCCACTGTGGCGCCTTGCCCAGCACTGGTTGTGTTTAGTTCAAAACAACACCCAGCGCTTGGTTGCACAGAGTAAACCTCTCTCAGCAGCTGAGGATGCGGTGAGACAGGGTGCTGGTCTTCCTGCCCTCAGGTACACGCTTACCTGGAAGCTCAAGCCTGGCCAGGTGGCCTTGCCCCTCCCACTGATGTGGGGCGAACACCCCTCCGTTTCTAGAGGATCTCCTCCCTACCCACTGCCAGCTACCTGCTTTGTAAGCTTTCCATATTTTCCTTAGACTCAAATTATTTTGATTAAAAATAATTACCAATTGGATCTCATTTAAATCGTGAGGGAGGCCGACCCAGCAGAATGACTCGGTGGCCCCAAGCCCCATGTCTGCCAGACTGGGGTTTGTCATGTGTTTAGATCTCATCCTCTAAAGATAGACAATAAAAACAAAGGGTTCATGAGTACACTTCCCCTCACCGTAGATGCGGTGTGATCTTTCTATTCTTGTTTGTGACAATAAAAATGCTTTTATTGCCCACAGTTTTCCTGAGTGCCAGCCATGTCTGATGTGAGCCCGTGTTAACTTGGAATGATAATATTCCTTCTTGCCAGTGAAGTTAGGGCAATGGTTCTCACAGTGGAACCGGCAGCATGAGTATCACCTGGGAATTTTTTTGAAATGCAAATACTTGGGCCCCAGCCCAGACCTGCTGATGAATGGGAATCTCGGGTGGGCCCAGCAATCTGTGTTTCACGCACCCCCCCCCCCACGTGATTCTTATACATAGCAGAGTTTGAGAATCACTAAGTTAGGGCACTGTTTACACAGACACTTGGTTCTCTTCTCCAGTGGGGTGTCGTTTTATCCTTGTTTCCTCTGATTGCATTTAGACATTCAGGGGTGTTAAGTTTTCAGTGACTAGTTCTTATATGTTAACAATAGACACTCTAAATGTAAATGAACTATACTGACGCCTGTCTATTGTATACATATATGTCCATGTCAGTATACACACACAGATACACACTGATAATTCCCAGGAAGGGAAAAGAGATAACGTGTGAAATGCAATATTGTGAAATGTAATAATTTCTGATACCCAGATAATGGTTTTAATCAGGTCTATCTAGTTTAAATAATTTTTAAAAATCCTTAAACTTTGAAATGCAAAACCAAAAGTATATGAATTCTTTTGAATTATAGAATTTTCCAATAGCTTAATTAGAAGAGGAAGACACAGATTGAATTTACAGCTCATGTTTAACAACTGCACAGACTGCCTGGTGTAAGTTTAACGGAATTGGATTTTTTGGGGGCTCCTCCTCAGATCCTTTTTAGAATGAGATGGACACCAGTGTGGTGCCAGCTCAAAGGAGGGCTCTGCTGCCATTGCCGACTGTGTAGATAACCAGATTCATGTGGCTAACAGGGGGCATGAGGCTCCATCCTGAGAACTGAAACCAGGGGCTGCAGTTGTCATGTGAAATCAACAGCTGGTCCTCAGGGTTGTTGTTCTGTTTTGAAGGGAATGTTCTCAGAAGGATTCATGCATGGACAAGGGACTTACGTTTGGGCTGATGGAGTGAAATATGAGGTAAAGCATATAATATACTATAGTTCTAAACTGTAACTATGGGATTTAATGGTCAGGTTCCCACAAATAAACATGCTACTTTCATAAAAGTAATTTAGCATATGGGTTAAAAACATCCACAGAACCAGAGAATATAGGTGAAAAGTAACTTGTTACTGCATGGAACCCTCTGGTAATTGTTGTTACCAGTTTCGTTTGTACATTCTAGAATATTCTATGTGTTCTGTGCATGTATTGCACACATACCTGTACTTAGCTTCTCCTACCTTTTACAAACACAAATAGTTTGTTATATACTCTCTTCTGTATCTTTATGTTTTAGAGATCAGACCATGTCCATTCATCCATCCAGATCTACCTATTTTCACTGGCCGCTGGTATTCCGTTATGTGGGTTTCACTTGACCCATCTTGCTGGCTCGAGGGGAGTATGTGTTTTTAAATTGATTGCTAAAATGGAACTTCCCTCCAAGAAAGGGCACCAGTTTCAACTCCCACCCACAAAGTGTGCGAGTGCCTGAAGTGCTCTTCTAAAAATCACAATTGCAAAGCCGCTAATGTGATGGTGCTTGTAAGTGGTGATGAAGATATTTAAAACAAATGCACATAATGCACATATTCAAATAGCAGCCGGGTGAGGGGAATAGAGGCAGGTTTGGGTCAGGTGGGCAGCTAATTGGAGCTGGACAGTGAGAGACAGAGGTTCAGGGAGCATAAGGGAAGGGTCACCTTCACTGTTATGGCAGGGAGAGAACCTCTGAGGCCCGGAGGAGCCTGAGGATTGGGTCCCAACAGCGGTTTCGGGCCAGCCTTTGCGGGAAAACTCCCTTTTCCCAAGACACCCTGCCTTCTAGCCTGAGGTCTCCAGTTCCTCGTCTCTGGAAGCTCTCAGGCAGGGCTCATTCCTGCAGGCACAGGCTGCCCCCCCGCCTCCCAGCCCAGTCAGGAGGGTGTCTGGGCAGGATTCAGGCTCTCACAGAAGCATCTTCAGGGAGGTCAGCTGGCCTCGGGGAATCTGGCCGGTGGTCAGGCCAGGCCGCACTGTCGTCTTTTCTCTGCTGACTGCCTGCCTCCAGTGACTTCACATTCCTGGAGGAGAACCCCATGGCTCTGGGCTGAGGTGTGTGGAACTGCGTGCTGCCCACTCATCCTGGTCCTGAGCAGAGCAGATTCTTTGGAAGGTGCCCACGGGGCAGGTGGTTGACTGACATGTCTGCAGAATATTTTGATGAACCACAGGCAGATAAAAGGGTTTCCACCAGAATCCCTTGGAGTGAACACTGGAACCCAGTGAATTAGCCTTCTTCAAGGTGGGTTCCAAGAATCTAAAGTTCCCAAGGCTGGGATTGGAAGCCACCACTTTGCCATGTCACCTACTTCCTTCTTGGAGCTTAGACTACACACAGCCTTCCAGATATTTATTCTTTCTAGGCTTCTACCCAGTGGAGAGATCAGGTGAGAGGATAGGACGTGTAGAGAAGGAAGAGGGAAGGTGGGAGCTGGGGGCATGTTCAGCTGTTTCAGTGGGAGAAGAGATTGGAATAGTATCTGTGGTCAAGGACACGTCTCAGCCCACAGGGTTAGGACCTCTCTGCTGCCTTCTATCTGTTACTCTTATGGCCATTTTGCCCTAGGGGGACTTTGTGAAGAACATCCCCATGAACCACGGCATGTACACGTGGCCGGATGGCAGCACCTATGAAGGGGAAGTGATAAACGGCGTGAGGAATGGATTTGGTATGTTCAAGTGCAGCGCGCAGCCCCTGTCCTACATCGGCCACTGGTGCCACAGCAAGAGACACGGGAAGGTGGGTGAGGCAACCACGTGACTCCCATCTGTGAATAGAATGTACAAACATGGAGGGTGGGAAATGGGGGGGCTGTTAAGGGTATATTCATCTTTTGTTTATTGAGGTGAAATTCACATCACATGGAATTAACCACTTTAGAGTAAACAATTCAGTGGCATTTTGTACATTCACAATATTGTGCAACCACCACCTCTATCCAGTCCTAAAACATTTTTATCACTCTAAAATAAACCCCATACCCATTAGGTAATTACTCCCCATCCCCGCCCCGCATCCCCACCAGTCTGCTCTCTGTCCCTATGGGTTGACCTATTCTGGACACTTCGTATGAATAGACTCATACAATATGTGACCTTTTGTGTCTGACTTCTTTCACTCAGCATACTTCGAAGGTTGATTCATGTTGTAGGTACTTCATTCCTTTTTATGGCTGAATAATATTCCACGGTGTGGCTATACCACATTTTGTTTATCCATTTATCAGTCAATGGACATTTGGGCTGTTTCCATCTTTTGACTCTCATAAATAGTGCTGCTATAAATATATGTGCACAGATTTATTTAAGTACTTGTTTTTAGTTCTTTTGGGTATATACCTAGGAATGGAATTGCTGGGTCCTATGGTAACTCAGTATTTAACATTTCGAGGAACCATCAAATTGTTTTTCACACAAGCTGTACCATTTTATATTTGCACCAGCAGCGTAGGTTATATTCACTTTTAATTAAGATTGCTATTTTTGTAATTATTGTTTTGCATTTTATGGGATGATAAAATTCCCCAGCAATGTTTTTAGAAAATGTCAGGAGAGAAGAAAAAGTATATCATTATAATCATCACTGATGGAGCATTAACAGTGCCCTGTTAATGAAAGTGTCACTTGGGAGGGTGTTGTCACCAAGTCTGTAACCTTCCTGAAACCCATGACTGTGCAATATTCACATATGGTTTCTTAAATAACTGGGGATTCCTTTTATCTCTTAAAAATAATTTATAACTGCTTGCTAGGATAAGATAAATGCCTTGGTTTGTTTTCAAACCCACAAGTAAATGGGTAGAGTCTGGTGCATGGTTTAGAGGCTCACAGAAATCAATGCCTCTGACTCAAACAGTGCTCTCTGAAAAGGTGAGGTAGAGGAGAGAAGCAGATCTGTGACCAGCCCTAAGTAATCTTTGAGAATTCTGGCTATAGAAGGCTTTTTATCTGAACAGCACAGATATCCAGGCTCTTTGCACCATGCGATATACTCTCCTTTTCTGCAAGGGGAAGGCTCCTCAGGCCCTTGCTAAGATCTCCTTAGCCCTCTTACTTTACTCAGATGTAGACTGTTCTGTTGTGTCCTGGTTTTTTAAAGCACCTGCTTTTTTTTAAAGCACATAGCAGGTCAGTTCAGACATACCAGAGGGGTTGGGAATGGTGACTTCCAACAGAGGCACCTGTTTGGCTGCAAGAAGGAACAAGTTAGCTTGATAAAAAGGAAGAAGATAGAAAACACACACACACACACACAAAGAGATAAGCCAGTGGATAAGCAAGCGATTTGAGGCCACTGAGCATAAATCCAAATACCTTGCAGGATGGCTAGTCCCTTAGAGGAGTTGTCAAAGGAAGGCTATGCTGTGTTCACTTATACTGGAGGCAGTAAGGTAAGTAAGATGATAAGTAAATGGATAAAACAAAAATGGTTTTGATACACAGAAGAGAGTGACCTCCAGTTATATGGAAGGTGTTACTCTTCGCTTTAGGTGACAACAAAACAGAATTTCTTCAGGTATGTGTATGACTAATGGTTACCAAATATACTGAATGTAATGAATGTAGTCATTCCCTGCCTCACCGTGGCACTCTGTGTTAAGGAGTAATTGATTTGCAACACGATCTCCTTCTCACTTGGTGGATATTTTACCATTTTCTTGTTTGCAAAACAGAAACATAACACAGATTATATGCCTTGCCTAAGTGTGACATTGACTTCTGCATAGACTAAATTCTTTAAATGCATCTATATCTATCTTTACCTTTGAGAAAGCATTTGTTTTATGAGGCTTGATTTTTAAAAATGATATTATTTGTTTTAGGGCTCCATTTATTACAATCAAGAGGGCACCTCTTGGTATGAGGGAGACTGGGTACACAGCATCAAAAAGGGCTGGGGCATAAGATGGTAGGTACCACTGCTGCCGTGTTTGGGGTGTGGGAGAAAGTGCTGGTGGGGCCAGATAATTCTCACTTAAGCTATTTAAAGGTAAGGTGCAGAAATTACAGAGAACACGTTTTCTATATAAGCAGGGTAGAATATTTAAATTAATCCTAATATAACCTCCATAGTGATGAAAATATTCTATGGAAAATTTAGAAAAGCCATGTTAAATGATGTCTAATCATACTGTTTCACTTTATTATATGTAGAAACTGCCTTTCTTTGTTCTCTGTGTTAATCGTGGATCTCTATTATTAGTTGTATGTTTTCTGAAGAATGTTGACACATTTGCTTGATTTTAGATTGAGCTGACAACATCAAATATTTTAAGGATTAAAATATTTGGGGGCAAAATATTACTAATTATAATACTATAGGGAATGATTTTTAAAAGATTTAAAAAATCCCTGCTCTTATCCACTTTGTCACCTTATTAAATGATCAGAAGTTTTAATAAAATGATTTATTCTACCCACTAAGGTGATTGTTTTAAAGAGCTGGGTCTTTGAGAAGACAAACAAAATTGACAAACCCTTAGCCAGACTCACCAAGAAAAAAAGAGAGAAGGCTCAAA